TCCCTAAAATTCTCAATTCACCAAGAGACATGGTCACCTACTCATTTTGGTTACTACTGGTTTTCAGGAAGACATGATGAGCATTCTTTTCCAGTTCTTTGATCCGAAGCATCACTATTTTACCTTCTCAGATTATTAGTTGGTACCTACAATGGAAGAATTCTCTAAGTTGCTCGAAGTGCCTATTCTTAATCAGATACATTTCACCAGTTTAGAGCAAGCTCCGAAACCTGAAGACGTTGCAGTAGCCTTACATCTGAAACGACCAGACATTGTATTTAATTAGGAAACAAGGAATGAAGTCAAGGGTTTCTCTCCTAAATTTTTGATAGAAAAGGCTCAGTGATTTCTGTAGCGGTAAAATCAATGAAATCGCCACCGAGTATTTATTTATCCCATATGAAGGGGAAAGGAAAATCATCGAAGAAAAAACCTAAAGGGGAAAATCAAGGTCTTGCGACCGAGAGGTTGGGTAAGGGAGTCGATTACGCGAGGGGAAGATATTAGCACCCCAAACGTCAATAGTACTCTACGGGATCCACTCTCGTTATTTTAATCAAAGTATGTGTTCAATCTAATTCTTAAGGGTTATGAACTAAGAGAGAGTGCATGCAAATAAAGGAGAAAGAATGTAGGTAAAATAAAGTTGTACTCGCTTGGGCCCTACCTCAATGCATATGTATCCTTTTTGAGGAATCAGAGCTACCATAGTTCGGCTCATATATTTTGTTTATTTATATTTTTTAAATGAACAATGTTGCGTTCGATCATTCCACCGCTGCTCGACCTTTGGAGACTTACTACCTGTAGTGGAAAGGAGCTAACATGCTCTTAGAAGAGAAAAGCCGAATGGAGAAAAGAAATGGATTGGTTGGTACTTTTTACCATGAAAAGAATTTTTTTATCATTAGCATTTTTTTTATACATTTGCCAAGAAAAAAGAAGTGTTAGTTTTAAGTGCCATTATGAAAAAACGGGAAGAAAACATCTAAGGGAGACTAACCTATCTCTAACCTAATGTTATCAGACAATGAGGGATCCTATCTAAGTTAGCATGCCAAAGAAAGTCTAACAAAACTATCCTATAGGGAACATGCACTGAGAGCGAAGTCGTGATCTCAATTTCTAAATTGAGTGACTCATCGATCAACAAGAAATAAAGGAAAGCGATAAAATCCTATAGGGAGCATCCACTGAGAGCGAAGTCGTGATCTCAATTGCTAAATTAAGTGACTCATTGATCAACAAGAAAGGAAGCAAACACAAGCACAACACATAACAAAAATGAAGTGCGGAATGCCTGCTACAGGTCTTTAAACAATAACTTAGAGCGCACGCTCTTTATTTCCTACTTCTCATGATATCTAGAAAAGCGATAAATGCGGAAATATAACTTGGAAGCAGTATAAAACCAAACGAACAATGACATCCGCAAAAAGCACAATCCAAAGTAAATAAAATCCGAGATACTTCGTACGAGCTGACATCAACAAATAAACAGTCAGAGTTCGAATATTTGGAATAGGTGTTGCAACTTCGTCGATGTGAAAATAAATCGCAATCGGAATCTAAAACACATCCGCATATCAAATAATGAACCTGCATAAACTAAACTCAACTAACAAAGGTGAATCACAAATCTCAAGTAATCAAAAAAATTAGGAATTAATTTCTAAAAATCAAATAAAAAAACCTATAATTTTTATTGATTTTTGTAGTTTTTTATTATAAAAGGAAAGTCCTAAATTCTATTTATTTATTATTATTTTTTTATTATATATATTTTTTTACTATTTTTATTAATAAAATTGGACGAAATTTAAACTAAAAGAATAGTAAAAGTAAAAAAAAACAAGAAATTAGAAAAGAGTCAGAGGGGTGGAAATTTGATTTCTGGGGGTTCTGTAGTAAAATCAGGCGCTAGGCTCATCATTAAGGTCCAAATAGCAATTTTTTTGTCACAAGCAACCAGGTTGCCAAACAATCAGTTATGGGATTTTTAAGGTGCAGTCCGGAACCAGGTGGTATGGTAGAAACAAGGCGCTAAGCCCATTCAATTTATAGTCCAGCAAGCCAGTTTTTTTTGTGTATTTTAGATTTAACAAAAAAAAAACAAATAATAGATTAAAAAAGGAAATTGAAAATAATAAAAAGAAATATAAAACTGAAAGGGATTAGGGCTGAGTTTTGGGGGTGACGGTTCAGATTCCAAAACAAGATCCTCTCTTATCTTCTTCCAACCACCGTTCACCTATCTCAATCTTCACCTCGTCGTCCTCTTCACTGTGACACTACCTCACCGCCACGGCTTCTTGCTCATGGCTCGACGAACTCAACCTCCCACTTCTACTTCTGTTTTATCACCGCGATCAGACAAACTCATTCCCTCCTCTTCTCTTTACAACAGCGCGATCTCTCTTCTCACTCTCAATCCGCCGCCACGGTATTTCAATAACGAGTTCTGTATCGTCTCCATGTCTCTGATTCTTCCGGATCATCGTCTTTTCTATTCGATTGCACAAGTCTTAGCAACCTCCATCTCATTCAATTCCGATTTGTCTTACATCATCTTCTATAAATTGAACTAAACGCTTGTGAATCCGACTACGACATTAGAAGGTGGAAGAAGAAACACACACAAGACCAATATTAACAAAAGAATAAAGCATCAATTAAAAGGTCGAGTGAGCTTACCGATCGGAGTCCGTCCGATGCGGCTCCAATGACGATGATGATGAGAGAAAAAACCAGAGAAAGCTTCCGAACTCAGGTATACGTTCTCTACGACCCTTTCTACTACCTCATTCCTTGCTAGTTCTTCTTCTTCTTCTTTTTCGAGTTTTTTATGCGTTTTTGTGTTGTTGATGATGTGAGGATTCGTTCTGTTGCAAGAGTGTTGAAGATGATGTGCCTGAAGTCGTGTGAAGAAGACGCGAAGAATTTATGCTGATGGAGGTTGAGGAAGGTGAATGAGAATGGAGCGTGAGAATGGTTGAATGAGAATGGAGCGTGATAATGGTTGAATGAGAATGGTAGAAGGGATCGATGAATGGTGGTTCAGTTGAGCGTATAAAGGTTTGTCATGTGAGGAAGAAAAATGGTCGACCCTTGAACGAGGGTACTGATTAGCTTATGTAGGTGAGTTCTTTGCAAATTAAGAGTGAGATGAGGATTAGAGAGAATTGGTTATATCTGTTTGTTGAACTCAGGATTTCTGTTAATTTGGTTAGAAGCTGTTAGCAATTCTGTTAGTTGCAGTTAGTTGTTAGTCGGTTAGAAGTTAATTTAGATTCAGTTATGAAATTCTGTTAGAGTTCTGTTAGTTGAAATTCTGTCAGAATTCTGTTTGGATGTTGGAATTCGGTTGATTGTTTTATGAACTAAATTGTTTTCTTGGTTTGATATTTCAGGCATCTCAAAAAGGAAATCGATATTTCTGAGTATTGTAGCGGTGAAAATCGAAGATTAAGCTATTAACTAACTTGACTCACAAAAGCAAGAGTCGCCACCACGCTTTATTATTTCCAAGGGAAAAGGGAAAAGAGCGAAATAAAACCCTAAAATATGCAATGTATAATAATACTTAAAAGTAATGAAAATACAATGCATTTTGGAAAGAGATCGAGAGTTCGGGGGTTGGTTATACAATGGGAAGGTATTAGCACCCAATGCATCTGCGGTACTCCGCAGGAACCTTTTGAAATATCTGTTTTTTGGTTTAAAATTGTTTGTTTGATTGAAATGATTCGTCTGGCTAAAAGATGTGTATGGACGATATTTTTGAAGATACGACGACCTAGTGTCGAAGTTTTGACTTAAAAGGTGTGAGTTTGAAATTTGAATTTTTTAGGAAAATCGACTTAATTTTGGAAAAAATAGTAAATAGGAAAAAAATGAATGAGGGTGTTCGCTTGATCGGATGAGATGTATTTGATGAAGTCAACAAGTTTAAATCTTTCCCTTGGAGTTAAAACCATAGACGGATAAATAAGCTAAGAGTATATCAAACCTTAGGTGAAAATAAATCACAAGCCGACAGCATCATAAAAAAAAAACCTAATGTGAGATAATGCTCCAAGCATCAGATAAAGCGCAAAGGCGGTGGATAAAGCTCACGACGTCAGATAAGAATCCCTGCATCACAAGAGATATACCGACAAAATCTAACAGCACGGGAAACTTATGTGCGTCCGCACAATTTTCAGAAGTTAGTTGGAATTAAAAATAAAATCACCATGCGATGAAAATAATATTTTCAAAAACCTGGATTTATTTACAAGTAAAATATACAGTCAAAATATTATGTACAAGTATATATTTACAGTACCAAATAAAATAAAAATAATGAAATACAATAAAGAGGTAAAGGGAGAAAGAAAAAGTGCAAACGCGCTATGCGAGTATGAATACTTGAAATGAATTCTCGGAAACCTTCACAGTAACAAACACGTTAGTAGCATAAGCGGTATAAAAATTAAAATGAAACGAAATTTCAATGATCAAAATGTGTGTCAGTAATAAAAAATGAAATTGTATGATGCATACGAATAGATGAATATTTACACAAATTAAAATCAAGAATTCATGACATTATTCAATGTAAACACACAAAAAATCAGCATTGCATACATTATTTCAAATGTGTCAAAAAGCAACCGCGTATACTCGATAAAATCAACTCAAAAGTGTTCAACAATTTAAGGTAACAACAAATAATTCCATAGACGATTTAATTCTTAAAAATCCAATTGAATCAAACTACTAGTTAGACAACAAGAAAAACTTCGCATTGATTTAATCGAACATGCATAATGCTAATTTATCTTCAACATGCCAAATTCAACACAAACAAAACAAGATGAAATCCAGACTAGCATTCAGATTTAACTCGCATAATAATGTCATCGAAAACTTTATTCACAAATGCAACGAAACTGATAACAAAACTACAATTCAGATTCAAACAGTGTGGTAGTTTCACAAACAACAAAAGCAAAATGTTATCGGGACTTACCGAAACTTGCCGAAGATGATGGAGGAAGAGCATTTGAATGGAACTTGAAGAGAGAAGCCCTTGAAAGTCCTCCAGTAGTTTGACCACCAAACTCACTTCTCCCGTGAAATTCTTTTGCTTGTGTTCGATGATAAGCCAATAAAACAAAAGCAATCATCACAGCAGCACCCACAGAAGCAAGGATAATTGCTATCCTGATATTACCCTTTGAACTATGATGTTTATTTTGAACAGTACCTGGCAGTGACGGATAACTAGGAGAATCATTTGATAACTTAAGCTTTTCATTTCCAGGGTTAAAGGATGATGTAGGTTATGCCACTGTGGGTCTTTACACATGTTTCCAAACCTAGCTACTTCCCGTGAAAAGACATTGAATTCTTACCTTTTGTCCATCTCAGAAAGACTTATTAACTCTTTCATATCTGTCAAAACTAATTGCTGAATGCCTTCGGATTGTAAAACCTCCCTCTTGAGGAACTGAATGTTTTCTTCATAAAGTGCGTGAAATAAAATGGCACCTTTGGTTATCGTATTAGCTACTTCAAAAGCCAATATTGATATTTTCTTCCCTTTAGAATTCATGCCAGAGACAAACCCACTACTGTTATTTAGCTTTGGCATGCTACTTCCAAGACTGTCCAGAACTTCCACTGCCCTATAGCTAGCTTTGCTCAGTAAAGAGCCCTTCCCGCTGATCTGTTTTTCCCCCATGGAAGCTGAAGTGGATAAACCAAAGTCATCCGAAAATAAATAGCATGTGCCAAACAACGTCGAAAACGGAAATTGATTTAAGGGAGATTGGGAGAAAATTGCGTGTTGAGCAGAAGTGTAGATGGCTTGCTGATGCTGTGTCACAAAATATAGACGGAGGAAGTACCGAGATGGGCGATGGAAAGTGTTCTGATTTGCGGAGAAAAGCGGATGAAGGATTAGCCGTGTTCAGTACAGGCGAAGGGAGTATGTTGATGCGGATGGCGTTGGAACGGGTTAAAAGGAAGGAGGCGGATGGATGTACCGGAATCGATGGTTGTTGAACGAAAGTTGTTGGTGCTGATAGAACCATCTTTGCCAGCCTGGAAGTAGTTAAGTTGAATTCCATATTCCTGCTTGATGTCATTGACAATGTCCTTGGGCTTGTAGTCTGGACAAGCTTTCAACTTTTCCTTTATAATACTAGCCACCCAATTCCTAGTTGCTTGATGCCATGTTGTACCAGCAGCCCCTTCACAAGTATGTTCCAAATTCATCTTTTTTTTATGCATATCAACTGAGTACTCGACAGCCTCGATGCATGAATTCTCCAAGGGCAACCTTCTGCTTTGCATTTAACAGTCACGCGATGACTATCATTCCTTTTATACTTGAATTCAAATTGATACGCAATGGCATATTTACGCAACGACTCTTGAAACTCATGTACGCTGTTAAACCTTTGACCCACACTAGTAATAGTATTGTGCCACTGTTGTGCCAGACTGCAACTTGTACTGGGAATAGACTTGAGATTCCCATGTCCTCCAAAGCTGACTTCAACTTAGGGTGGAGAGAAGGGACGGAATGAAGAGGTAGTGGTTGAGATGTTGTCGCGAACAGTGATGATGAACACTGACGGAGACTGAGGGTTTGAGATGATGGTTCGATGATCAAGTTGGAGCTTTGGTGAAGGGAATGGAGATTGAAGGGTGTTGGTTCGCGTGAAGAGGGGGTGTCAACAGAGATGATGGTTTTATTGTGTTTGACAGCGGATTGTCTCCGGAAATGAAGGATAATGGCGGAGGGAGTAAATAAGGTTGGTTCTTGTTTGATGACGATGATAGTGGGTTTGTATAGAAATTGAAAAAAGGGTATGAAATGTTGATTGAAGGTATCGACGAGCGTAAGTGTGCCGTACCGAAACAATCGATTGGAGGTATTGCGAGAACTGGGTATGAAGATGAAGATAAGGGAGTATGGGTTGTTATGAAAGTTATTTGGAGTTTTGTTGTTGTGAACGTGGGGTGGGTTTTGGGGCAGAAGCGTTAATGGCCATTTTGGTTTTGCACATAGGAAAATGAAAGAGTTGAATATAGGATTGAAGGGGTTTTGTTTTTTGTGTAGGTGAATTGAATGGGAGTTTGTGTGATGCTGTGCGCTTTTTTGTTTGACAGAAGGTGATGTTGAGGATGGTGGGATAATTAAAGGAGGTGGAAGGAGTTGTGAGAGGGAGATGAGAGTGAGGTTTTTGAGAGAAAGAAAGAGTTTATTATTGTGTTGTCCCCCCTTTACAAAGAAAAGAAAGAAGTGTTTATATAGACAGATCAAGAGGAAAATTTCACTTCTGTTTTGCAATTCATTTGCTATTTCTGGATCGATCCATTACACTCTCTAACAACCAATCAGAATAAAGCACAGTTTAACAAATAATTTTTTATGACCAAAAAGCCCTTAAATGATAAAAATAACCAAAAAACTAAATGCATTAAAATTAACTCCATTTAAAATGATTTTTTTGAATATTTTATGAATAAAAAATAAAGACCCAAAATGACCAAAAATGATAAAAAACAGACGAAAATTTATCCGAAAAAATAAAATGAACACATTAAAATAATCTACATGTCACAAAGATTAAAGAAAAAATATTCAACAAGGTCAAAAATCGAAATACAATGATAATTAAAATATCAGGCTAAACAAGCGTTTACGGTTAAAAACGAGACCTCGAACTGTACCGAAAGAATAAAGCAAGCATACCGTCATAATCTACGCGTCATGCAGATTCATAAAATGATCGGTAAGAGGTGAAAACTTGAAATATTTTTCTCGCTATCTTTTCGCACAATATTGAATCGCTTTTAACGGTCTGTCTATAAAACCAAAATATTTTTATTATTGACATATAAACAACTTGGAGCACTGCAAGAAAATAGTAAACAGATAAAAATGAATGAAGTGAAACGCCAGGTATTTTACAACTGAAAGACGATGCAAACTTTGATTCAAACTGACTTTTCTGGTCAACTTAAATACGACCAATGATGCAAAATGTGATGAATGAAGATATTTACTAATGATTGTGACCAAATGACAAAATACGATATGAAAGTGCGACTAAAACATATTAGGGGCGAAATTAAGGGTGCAACGGTGTGCCTTGATGAATCAGTCTTCGAGAATCCACAATCAACCGTACTTCTGGCTTGGGAGAATCAAAACCTTAATTGAGGCGCGACATCTGATGCTCTTGATCCAGACCTGTCTCCGCACATGACACAAAAGAAAACATGAACATACACCTTTGTATGCGATTAGAAATTAGTGATACATAGACTGAAAATGTTCAAAACACTTGACAATCTTCGCATAGTCAAAGCTCGAAGGTGAGAGGTTAAAACCGACCGTATTTCGTGACCTTGACTTATCTTTAAACATGCAAAAAATAAAAATGGGATCTTAGGTCAAAAATTGGGGTACAACAAGTATAAGAAGATTGGCATCAATGAAAATGATTTTGTCGTAATCAGTTAACTGCCAGAGACAAAATTTGTTGTAGTTCCACTCATTATATGCCTCTGGTTCTGCTTTTGGATTCCTGATTCTTTTAATAGCATGAATCTTCCATCCAGCTTGTTCTGAACCCCCTGTGATAATCAGTGATTATTTCATCAACAAGAATCACAAGATCATGTGTTGAACCAGACATTTGAATACTTTGAACTGCAGTAATAGCTCCACAAACATACATATGCGCAAAGTGCAGGATTGTCGCATAAGCTTCTTAGTATGCCCTTTCAGAATGAGAATTTTCTTTGGCCTTGAATGGAACTGATAATTTATGCAGGTTGGGTTCATAAAGCCAGACATTCCCTTGATATTTTATAATATCCATGCAAGTGAAGAGATTTGGAGTAGGGAAGCAATCAATCAGAAAAAGCAAACAAACATGACGAAGCCCTTTGGAAGTAGTAGCAAGTTTTACTGCTTCAATCTGTAGATGCAAACGAGCTCCATCTCTCAACCAATTCCCTGAATTGTCACAGGGGATCTTAACAACAATAATATCAAGCTGTGGTTTTCTTGGTACCTGAATCTTAGGTGGTGATGGACAAGTAGGAAACTCATATTCTTCTCCTTCATCTATCCGTTCTAGATACAAGTCTTCCCAAGCGATGTTAGTTGAAGCATAGTGTAAAGTTAAATGAAGACTTGACTTATGGCGTGAAAAGTGGGAAAAGGCTTGATCATGGAATTAATAGAGATTGGTTATACATAGGTTTAGGAAGGTTCACCAAGTGGTATGTTGACTTTGGTCAAAACTTGTCATATTTTTGTGTGATTTTCTTTGTGGTAATGGTGTAAATGGAAATTGTTTTGAATACTATCTTGTAATAAATATCTTGTAATGAAATGATTTTTGCCTTGAATAAAATTTGAAACTCCTTTCCCTCGGAATTGTACTTGAAATTCCGTTTTCCACTTCAAATTTGCAAGCTTGGGTAAGAACCATATGATAGTAAGATAAAAGCCCAAAAAGTTTTAAGAAGGACTTTAGTTAAAACCTTTAAACCTTGATGTGATATTCTAATTTCACCATGTCTCCTCAAACTCTTGCATAAGGTTCAAAGTACAGATTTGTAGCCCAAATAATCAAGTGAACCACACTTCAACAAATGACAAAACCAAATGAAGCCCTAATGTTGAAATGTGCCACATGATAGCCTCAAAGAAATCTATTTGCACCGATTCATGCTTAGAGAATAAGCCTTTATCCAACGAGCCTCTTGACCACCACATGAATAGGGAAATAAACCCTAAATCCCCAAGATAAGTGCTAACACACTGAAGAAACGTCTCACTTCATGAGCTCCAAGAATTTTTTGTCTGAATTTAGAGCCCTTTGAAAGAAGTCCAGTTGAACGTCTTGCATCGTAAGTAACAATGAACCCCTCACATGATGAACAAGCCCAAGTGTTGAGAACAAATCCAAGATTTATTTGATAATTCCAAGCATAAGGAAGCAAACCCTTAATCCATGATCAATGAGAACCTCAGTTGAAACCAACCAGTATGATGTTTGAATTAAGTCTTGAACAAGTCTTCATTCTTCGAAACATAGATCAATTTGACCAATTGCGCCAAAATATTCACTTGAAAAGGATTCGAGAAAAGTAAGAATGAATGAGAAATGTCTTAAACTTCAAGTAATTCTTCTTTAAAGAGATTCTTATAAGACAGAATTGAATTTGCATTGACTTCGAATGATATTTAAGTCACCATATTTGAATTCCACGCGAACCATTATATGAATTTTCTTGAATTAATTTGGGCTTAAAGGAATTTCTTGAATGAATCTTCAAATCACCTCCAACGAAACCCTTAATCTGGATCTTCAATTTAATCAGAATTCAGGAAGTAATCCTACCTTAATTCACAACTTAAACACCAAGAATCATCTTAAAGAAATCTTCAATCAATCCTTAACCATGTAACAAATAACATCACAAGGGAAGAGTAGTGCTAAATGTGGCCTTGAAGTGAGACCTTAATTCAATAAACCTCCATAGAATAATCACTAAGCTCAAATAAAATGAAGAGAAATCGTGATTCTCTGGCTGAGTTAAACCCTAATGCCTTGGTTCCTTGAAAGAACTCTGATGAAGAAAATTTTTTATCTTGAGGAAATCTGATAGCAGAGACATTTATGCTTCTTGAGATCCAAAATCCTAATCTCATACCAAGAAAGATGAGAGCGCCAACTGAATCAATTTTGAGTAAGATGACAACCTCCATTCAGAGAGAGAAACCCTAAGGCCAAGACCCTTCGATCTTATAACCATGAGACCGATGCTATATGCGAAATGTACAAAGTGTTATGAGGGATCTTAGGGGCAAAAATTGGGGTACAACATTTTCTAGATGCCACGAATTTTCGTGCTTTTGAGGATATTTTGGCTTTTCTAATTTATGGTTTGGTACTATTCCCTAATCTGGACCAATTCATATATGTGAGCGTCATCAAGATATATCTCGCCCATAATCCGATGCCTACCTTACTTGGAGATGTCTTGAATTCCCTCCACACTCGTACTATAAAGAAACGAGTAAGTCTTATGTGTTGCATACCTCTACCGTCTACGTGGTTTATTTCACACCTGCCTTAATCAGTGATAAATAATGAACAAGGTCTTAGGTGGTCTTAAGGCTGATGCCACTCACTCATACAGATATCCATTGGTGTTCCAGATCTCAGGAAGATGTCACTATTATTGATCGTTGAGGGGAATTCCCTAATGTACCACTCCTTGGTATAAGATGAGGCATAACTTAAAATATCTCTTCAGCTCTGCATCATTTTTTTTATGCTCGAAGGGACAATCCTCATGATATGCTCATCCAGGGTATTATATTCGACTACGAAAACGATCCTCAAGACTACCATCAAAGGTTTATACGAGCTTGGGGCGGAGTCATTAAGATTGATAGCAATACTTTGGGACACAAGAATTCCATTCCTCTAGAGCCTTACCTCATATGGGTGTGGTCCTGTGCTCAGAATCTCAAAATGCCATATCCTGTCAGTGATCGTTGAGCCTAATGTTGAAGGGGGTGTTTCTCATACTTTTCTTCATCCTGATATGCCTACCGACTTCGAAGAACTACAAAAGTCCTGGATTCCACTGCAGGAAGAAAGAGATACCTTCGAAGCTTAGTTCTATGCTAGTGAGAAGAAAGTATTAGAGCTGACGAAACGACTCCACGAATTACAAAGACTTAACGCACATGTCAACACAAAGAGGAAGCTTCCATGGGATACTTCAATTTATATTTTTGCTATTTTGTAACTCTTTTTATTAAAAGAAATTATAATTTGAGCTATTTACTAAAATTTCTCTTGTTTCCTTTTGTTTAAACAAATTTAAATCCCATAACGATCCTTGTAAACATTGCATCTACATATCATGCATCATTACATAATAGGTTTTCCCATACAAGGTTTCTCATCTCCTTGCTGTTTATTTCAGTAAAAGATGGCTCTTGAACAA